TAAGCCAATCAGGAGAAGACTGTACATGCCATATACACATGTAACTGTTAAGCCAATCAGGAGAAGACTGTACATGCCATATACACATGAGAGCAAAATTTACTACTTCTTCATATATATAACAGTGTAAACATGGTACCATGTAAACAGTAATTTAGAATTTATAAAGAGTATTAGATCAAAGAATACAGCTAGTAGGTGTGATATTATTTGAAAGTACTAAACTAACCAACATGCTTTCATGACTACCTGCTCCTCTGGCTCTGCATACAATGGCTTTCTCGGCGCCTCTTACTATGCCAGGTGTGTCTTGCTGAAGAGCCACTCCATTTGTTGGTCCCTTGTCTACATTCTGTTTCCTTCAATACCTGAAATGCTTATTTTCTGAATTTCTTTGGGTGTTTTCTGAAATGACATTTTGTCCCCTAAGGAGGACTTCCATAACCAACATATTTTAAACCGTATCTACCCCCATTTATTTCTTTTATACACAGTTCCTTCCTGGTACATCAGATATTCTGTTTCCTCGCACTCTAGCAAACACTACCATGAAAACACTATGCAGAGATCTTGTCTGTGCTGCTCACTGTATACCTAGTACCAAGAACACTACTTGGCAGACAGCAGACATTCAGCAATTATCTGTCAAACATATCAATGAATCAATAGCTCCAAAGAGAAGAAATTGTAGGACATTCCTTAGATTGGCATTAAATTTAATGCCTAATAACAAAAATTTTTAGAGAAAACTCAATATATAGAAGATATAATTATTATTTATAGAAGAGAATGTAAACATTCCAAAAATGTGAAAAAATGAAATAAAAATATCTGATATAAGTTTGAAAATAAGTGAAAGTGTTTCATTTTTTGATTTCTTGATGGAACATCAAGATAACCATCTAGCATGACGGAACAAAAATGTAAGTACAGAAAACAAGAGTAGAACTAAAGTAATCTGACCACAGATGATGGGGAAAGAGTTTAAAAGTGAAGACAAGAAGACTGCAGGGCTAAACCATGATAAAAGTGAAGCAAACAATTCATTGAGCCCTGGCTCAGAGTGGGGAGGAGAGGTGCTGCTTTTGTTGGGTAGTGCTGGAAATAAAACCCTACCTCACTAAAAGGAATTTAATTCCTGGTCACTGAGGATCTTCAGATGTCTCAGGACTTGTGTTCTCATTAGAAGTGGTCTTACTTGGCCAGGCCTGATAGTGTAGCTTCTGGGAAACCTCACCTACTTGGGAGCTGAGGAAGGAAGATCACAAATTCAAATCCTACCAGGACTACAGAGTAAGTTCAAGGACAGCCTAGACAAGTTAGTGAGATCCTTTCTCAAATAAGTAAAAAGAAGGCAGGGATGTAGCCCAGTGGTAGAGGGCTTGCCAAGCACACTCAAGCCCCAAAGGTCAGTTCCTAGTAACCCCACACCCAACGCAATCCACACACAGACTGTTCTTATTCACACTCATTCCAGATTACGTAGCACAAATCCTTATTTAAATAACTTAAATACAAAAAGAAAAATCACCAACTGCAATCTTTTTTTTCTCACTTAATTCTATCATTGCAGCAGAATACAAGGAGGTTAATTTTGGAAGGCTCCTTCATTAGCCTGCATCATGGGATTGCATAGCTTATTGGCTTATGATTTTTTTGTTTGTTTTGTTTTTTTTTTTTTTTTTTTTTTTTTTTTTTTCCCCACAGAGAACCATAAAGGCATTTGTGTTTTACCTTAACTGGGAAGCTACACTTTCCAGTGCGGACTCCTTCTTCATCTGTCTGCCACTGATGTGGACGGCTGGCTTCTGGGACATAAACATCTTTCTTTCTCCTGAAACTTTGCCGTAGTTTGTTCATGTTAACTTTTACAACCTGAAGACACAGTGAAGAAATACCAAACAATTACATTCTTACACAACTTCAGATGACCATTTTAGCACAAAACCCATCATCCCAAACTCTGAAGGCCCATATATCACTCTGAAGGGTGATGGCTTAGTACATTAGCACACTTCCTCTCAGAGTGACAGTGAGTCTAAAACAGCTCTCATTCCGCTTTTTAAAGACAACTTTGGTTCCCTCCAATGACAACTGCCCCCAACGAGGGTGGCCTTGAACTTTTCATTCGCTACCTCTCAAATGTTGGGGTTACAGCCATGTACTACTGTGCTTCAGTTTACTTGGTGCTAAGGACTGAATCTAAGATTTTGTGCCTGCTAGGCACACATTTTGCCAACTAAGTTGCATGTCCAGCTCTCCGTCCGTCCATCCGTCCGTCCATTCTTTCTGTGATCTTGTCCACCAATTTCTACCTGTTTAACATCTACTTCACTCTGCCCCTTCTCCCACGGTTCATTCATTCTCAAGCTCTATCTCACCCCTCATTTGTTGTTGTCTTTATTACTGGTAGTCAAGGGAAAGATATGAGTATTCCTGATTTGATGAATATTAGGTAAGAGGCAGGACAGCTCAGGCTGCTTGGGTGAACAGTCACTCTTCTTCTTGTCTGTAGGGCAAGTGATTAAAACTATAGCCCTGTACATCCCAGGCAAACACTGTGTCTTGGAGCCTTTCCCAGTCACTTTTCTCTTTTCCTATTTAATTCTGCTCACTCCTCATGGAACCTGATGGGGATGGAACCCAAAGGCAAAGGCTACCTCCCCCAATCCCTGCTTTTTCTTTGTGGTGGCTTTGCTTAATTACTGTCTGAATCTAAAATATTTCTTTGTTTACATTACCTACCTACTCCCAGTGAAATATAAGTTCTACAAGGACAGGATTCTATCCCGTTCCGTGTTCGTGCCCTGGTGTCCTGGAGCTGACCAGTAGAGGAGTGGCTCACATACACTTACTGAATGAACGCTGTTCCACAAACACTCATGACTAATAAACAATGCCGGAGGCTCCGGTCAAATCTAGCTTCTGTACCTGGGCACCTGACATAAGGGAAAGAACTCTGTAAGCTTTACAATGAGAAAGACCTGAGTGTGAATGCTGTGCTGCCATAGATGGTGATGTGACCGAGGCAAGAAATTAAAAGTTAAAATCCTTAGTTTAGACTTCTGTCAGTTATGGTAGTAACTGTTACCTTCCAGGGTCACTGTGAGGTTCAGAAATAATGTTACCTAAAATGGCCAAATGTTTTAAGAGGGGACTCTTGTTGCTGGGACTAGCTTTGAACTCTTGGTCTCAGGTAGACAGGTCTGTATTTGGCCAGTGTCCAAATCAACTATTCTGAAACTTTTTTATCTAACTTATTGCAAAAGGCCATTACTTAGACTCTGCTTCAAATAAAGGTTCATTTCATTCATTCTAATCTGTTCTGATTACTGTCAGTTTTCTAAAACATCAATCTGACTGTGCAACCCTCTACTTTAAAATTCTCTTAATTGGCTCACATCACCTTCAAAGTCTCAATGTTCAGCATGGCAAACATGTCTTAGGCCTTCTCTTACCAGCCCCCATTCACATGTTAAGTTCCAGCTACATTAAGCTACTTATAGTCCCCTACAGCCATATTTTTCTTCAGTGCCACTGTCTACACAGAAAGAATATTTCAGTTTGCCTCCTGTAAAAGTCTACTCATGTTCAGTGTAAGCCCAAGAGACGACAGCATTTAACAAAACAGTTAAATTGTTTTTTTTCTTAGACGTCTTTACCTGGCCTTGGTCCTTCTACTTCCACATGATTCCATTTAAGCGTTTTGCTGACTTTTATTACTGTCCATTAGAACCTGGCACAATTTCTACCTCCTTAACAGTAAGCTGTATCCTACTTGTTTAAATAGTACCTACCCCTGAATCCTAATGTGGTGCCTGTCGTGCATGGCATACTGTAAATTTGAAGAAACAAAAAACGACCTCCATAATGCTAAGACTACTCTGTAGGTAGGAAAACACTACAAAATGATCAGAGCTGGAAAAGACCAGAGATATAAAAGCCCACTGACAAAAGAGGATTACCCCACTGTCTAGACTAGAGATATAAAAGCCACTGACAAAAGAGGATTACCCCACTGTCTAGACTAGAGTACTGGCAGAATTTATTCACTTTCTAGCACAGATGTATTACTGTAGCATTTTTGGTTGCTAAATAACACAATGAAAATGTCAAAAAAAATTGGTGTCACTAGCTTACCACTTTTAGTACTCAAATGGTTTGCTATCAGTATTTGTCATGATTCTTTACTCATGCTTTAAGTAACCACGAGAGTGCAGTGGAAAGACCCACCGGCCACTGCTTGTTTAGAAGGAAAGTTAAGGAGTCTGGAGGATTGGACACAACTCTGAGGAAAGGCTTCAGGCTCCCGTCACAATTTCAGAGATCTATCTTATTGGATTTCCATGTAAAAAGTTTAAGGAAAAGGTTTTACAGTTTAGGGCAATTTAAATAGTAATGACAAAACATTCCTAAGATAAATTTGAAAGGTAAAAATATGTAATTATGATATCTTGCTTGCTAGCGCTTAATAAACAACTACCACTGGCCTAAAGACAAAGGTCCTAGTTGAACATAGGCGATAAATATGTTTTTAAGTATAAAAATTAAGAATTAAGCTGGGCGGTGGTGGCGCACGCCTTTAATCCCAGCACTTGGGAGGCAGAGGCAGGTGGATTTCTGAGTTCCAGGCCAGCCTGGTCTACAGAGAGAGTTCCAGGACAGCCAGGGCTATACAGAGAAACCCTGTCTCAAAAAACAAAACAAAACAATAACAACAACAAAAAAGAATTAGCCAGGTGTGGTAGCACACACCTTTAATTCCAGCACTTCGGAGACAGAGGCAGGTAAATCTTTGTGAGTCTGAGTCCAATCTGGTCTACATAGTGACTTCCAGGGCAGCAAGGGGCTATACAGAGAACCCCTGTCTTGAAAAATCTAGAGGGAAAAAAAAAAAGAGAGAGAGAGAGAAAGAAAGAAAAGAGAATTATTTTGCAGGCAGAGGCAGGCGGATTTCTGAGTTCAAGGCCAGCCTGGTCTACCAAGTGAGTTCCAGGACAGCCAGGGCTACACAGAGAAACCCTGTCTTGAAAAACAAACAAACAAAAAAAAAAAAAGAGAGAGAGAGAGAGAGAATTATTTTGCTCTATAGGCTAATCTTTTTAAAGTTCCATTATACTACAATTTCCAAAGATAACTATATACAATTGTCAAAGAGTGTACACATGTATATGCATGTGTGCGTGTTTATGTGTGTGTTTACGCACACATCCACACCTGCATTTATCAGCATGTGAATGCCTCAGGTCCTCAGGCTTGGTGGCAAGTGATCCCACGGAAGAAGCTGTGTCACTGTCCCTAGAAAATCTTTTATTCCCCTTAACTGTTCTGTAAAGGACTGATGCCATGACTCTTATCTCTTCTGTGCTTCTCTCCTCCCCAGACTCCTCTCTACGCCAGCATTCCTCTAGTTTAACGTCATCAATTTGTTGACTCTCAAGGGTTTCTTCTACTTCTTCCAGTCGTTGAAAGTACTCCGTAAATAGCATGGTTCAACTGTGCTCTCTTATTCATGCTACCATTCTTTAAGAAATAAGACAAACCATCCCCCCATCAGTACAATTTTTCCGCATTTGTACTTTTTAGTTCCCGTCCTTTCATTCAAGTTCATTATGGGCATACTGATGTTGTCTCACACACACTAATACCTTAAATCATCCCCTTTCCTCTCATTCCTAAAGACCTCATCTTCGCCTCAGTTTATGTGGTTCGATGAAAACAGAAAGCTTACCATGTGCTGATGTAGCCCTATTGTTAAAACTAGTGCAGAAATTAGTACGACTACTTCCTTGACTTTAAGTGACTCTCTATAATAATAGAGAAACCCTGAAGCCTGGATTTCCTATAAGCAGTCACAATGTAAGTCAAGTTTTAGGAACCAAAATTAGCGACAGATGGTGGGGTATAAGAATAAAACGTATTTCAAGTAGAGGCAATGTGGTGGTTTGAATATGCTTGGTCTAGGGAGTGGCACTTTTTGGAGGTGTGGCCTTGTTGGAGGAAGTGGGTCACTGTGGGCGTGGGCTTTAAGACCCTTCTGTTGTAGCTGCTTGGGAATGAGTCTTTTCCTGTTTGCCTTTGGAACAAGATATTGAACTCTCAGCTCCTCCTGCACCATGCCTGTCTGGATGCTGTCATGTTCCTTCCTTGATGATAATGGACTGAACCTCTCAATCTGTAAGCCAGCCCCAATTAAATGTTTGTCCTTCTTCTAAGAGTTGCCTTGGTCATGCTGTCTGTTCACAGCAATGAACCCTAACTAAGACGGGCAACTATGTCAACAAAAGTACAGATGCCAAAAATCCAATATTTGGGGTGGCGCAGCAAGGAGTAGCAGAGATGAGGCCAGAAATCTAAAAGGAACTAGGATTTATGGGAAATCAGAAGCTGCGTAAAGGATTTAAATCGTGACTGGGATGATCAGACTTGTGATTTGGTTTAACTACTCTGCTAGTAATATGGAAAAACAAATCTGAAAGTGGAGGACTTACAGACAAGTTATAATGAGAACTTAAACTAGGGTACTGGTGGTGGCCTTGGTGGAGACAAGGGAACAGAAAAACACAGAAAAGCAGTAGTGAGAAGAGAGTGAAGTTGATACAACTAAGCTCCAGAATTTTTTCCCCCAAGATCTGTTAGACCTGTTAAATCTCAGACCCTTTCATAGGGGTTGCTTAAGACCATGAGAAAACACCTATACTTACATTATGATGCATAACAGTAGCAAAGTTAAAGTTATGAAGCAGCAATGAAAATAATTTTATGGTATGGTTCACCACAAAATGAGGAACTGTATTAAAGACTTGCAGCATTAGAAACGTTAAGAGCCACTGTGTTAAACCATTAATTAGCTTCTGAACTACAATTGGTCAAGT